TCATTTCTTGCATTTATTTCTTTTTCAGAACCGTCGCTTTTGGGGGACGCCCTAGTATTTACAACTTTCTTTATTTTGGCTTGTTTCATTTTTCTTTTTGTACTGGAGAAAATGTATTGGCTTTAAATTTTTTTTTTTCTAAATTTTCTTTTCTCTTCTGTTCTCATCATATTATGATGATACTGCTTGTTTCAACATCGAATTGTTTTTTTCTGGCAATGCTATGACTTTAGAACTGGTAAAGAAACTTAAAAAATATTGAAATGCCTCCAAATATTTAACCTTTAATTAAAAATGTTGTTTAAAATCAAGGCATAATTGTCATAAATCTATTAAAATTCCGCCACAACTGCATGTAAAAGGCAGCGCAAAAATTAAAATACTTATAATTACATGCATGAATAATAACAGTAGGAAGATCACCATTTTAAGATATAATTATTTTCTTAATCGCACTCAGATTATTCATATTACGCATTTTAATTAATAGTTTGACTTCAGTTTTTTTTCTCTTTCTTTGTAAATAACCATAATGTAAATGATATGTAATTGAATATTGAAATCGAAATTTTATTCAAATTATCCTTTTATTTTTAAAACATAAAATTACCATAAACTAGATCTTATTTGCAACATTATTGAAAAAGTATTTACTAAAAAAGAAAGTTTTATTACAAAATTAATTAATTTATATAATTAAAAACTAAATGGAATGTGATTATGGTAATTACAAAGCGGCAAATTCCAGTTTGCAGAAAAGAGTTTTTGTTTTGCTTAAAAACGTAGCATCTAAATTTTTCTTATCTAAGAGACTATAAACACTAAAAATTAAATTATTGTGCTTTTATTAAATTATTTTTACTATTTTATACAGAAATTAAAAATATGCATTCATAAAGTCTCTCTACAAATTATACAACTTAATTAGTTCTGAATTTGTAAATAATTTTTGGGAATTGCAAAAAATAATTACAGTTTTGCAAAAATTAATGCCTTGTAGAACATCATATGGCCCCTCTTATTGATACAGTCGTGTAAGTCAGTTTTGATTTCCATAATGTTTCGATTAACAAAAACTTTTACAGATTCATAGGTAAAACACATGAAAGAGAAAGATGAGGGAAAATACTAGCTCTTTTATTGTGCACGAAGCTTTTATGCAGTAAAAAATTTACTATTTACTTTTTAAAATCGCTTTGATAGCAATTCGACAATAAATTCGAAAAGTCATGGATTGGAAGAGGGTCAACAGTCTAATGGCCAGCAAGATAAATCGACTTCGATACTTCCCTGCTCCAAGTCCTAAATTTTATACAGGCATCAGTTGGAAAACCTCGTTTTGCCTACTCATAAGGGCCTATACGATGGTATATAACAGTACACTTTGATAGGAGACACTCAATAAATTTGTTGCACTTTACAAAAATTGCTTAATTTGATTAATTTGATTTGATTTGTGTACCATAGCCTATATGATTGAAGAACCATTTGGAAAATTTTTACATTGCTGCTGTTCAAATTTTGGTTGCAATTTAAAAATTCACAAACATTACTTAAGGATCAAATGCATCATAACGTAACCATTATCTTAAAACGTAAAGGATGGCAAACATTTTACCCATAAGAACTTGAATAAAAGTCTATTTACTTTAAATTTTTAATAATTATGCAATATCTACAATATCACTGTACCATTATAGCTAACTTCACTCAAAAAATTTAATATTTTTTTGTAAAGTAAAAAATTATTGCACATATCCGTTTCAATTTAAGTATGTCAAGTGTTAAATTTACCCTTATGTATAGTTCAAACAATTTAATAAAAAATTTTACTTTAAATATTTAACAAAATTCACTTTTAATATTCAGTGTCCATGTACTCGAAAAACAATACAACAAATGCAAGACAGAAAACTGGAAATCAAAAAATGTGCATTCGAATAAAAATTTCTAATATATTTTTTATATTATAATATTAAAATTATGGTATACAAATACAAACGATCCATTTTTATTTTATGAACTTCAATTATTAATTAATTGGAAAATTTTTCATTCATTTACTAAAGCTAAGTTATTTTTTTACCGTATATGAAATAACAGTAGGAAAAGTATGAAATTTCATACTTTTATAGCCTCCTTTAGTTCAAAAATGGTGATTTATAAAAATTTTTCTTATATTTCTTTTGCATACCACTGATATTTATTCATATAACAAAATTTAGTTGCAGCTACACTGCTACACTGCATCTAACTTAAAAAATTTTGGATTATTAAACACATTCGATTTACTAAATGTCGTGTTTTAAATTATTATACTTTGTTCATATTTTACGAATCAATAAAAACATAATCATTTAAAGAAAGTTCGTTTTATTTCATTCGAATTGAATTATATCAACAAATCAGAATGTTTGACCAATTTAATTTTAAAATATTTTCTATTCAACGAAATATTCCACTAGACAGTCAAACGTTTTTCAAAATGATAATATATTTTAAAATATTCAAACGGAATAGAAAACAAAATTACAATTAAAAAAAAATATTGCCTCCAACCAAATGGTATTATAGTGCACACTATAAAGTCACCATAAAGATTATGTATAGCTCTAAACCATGTATGAATCAAGTTCAATATTGAAATCAAAATTTCGTGAAAGTTTTCTTTTTTTTCTCATTTTATTTTAACTTTTAACAATATTATTTCATTTAATAGCGATAAACAAGATTTCACAATGTGTAAATATCTAACAGGATAAAAATAAAGCTAGTATGTATTTTGAATATATAGCGCCGAAGCCTTTTAAAGCATTCGCAACTTATAATATATTTGCTATGGCAAATATATGTAGATTTGTTCATATTGAACAGATATGTTCACATATGAGCCTATGTACGTGCATAAGAAATATTATAAAAAACAAAAAAGATTCTTAGTTTTACAAGCATCTATATTATAGCATATAGATAAACATATTATAAGTAGATACAACAAAATGAGAGGAAAAATAAAATTACCAAGGTAATGATGCACTTTTAACTGGTTCGACTACTTTTGATTTTAGTTTTTATTTTACAATATATTTGTTGATATATCTTGTATTTACGTGCGGAATTAATTAAATTTTAAATATAAAAATAAAAGTAAATATTTGCGGATCGTTGCGCGTTGATTTTTAGTTTATGATATTGAAATAAAAAATATATTAAAAGTTAACTTATTAATTTTATCCGAAGCTTAATTCTGCAAAAATTACAAATGAAATATTCACTTCAACTAAAAAGAAAAAAGCATTACCGTATACAAGTCAAATATCAAAGCTTTCGCGAAACTCTAGAACTTGGCCCGGCACTACAGGTGCTTGTACGTTGTATGGTCCAGAATCCTAAAGTCTATTCAAAAACTCTCCTGAAATATTTTATGCGGGTCAAATGCTGAAGCTTGAATGGCATTAAAAAGTTGAAAATCATATTGCTTCGTTCTGTGAATTCAGGAAACCTGAATTATTTAAAGAATACAAAAATCAGCTCTTAAAATTTAACATTAACTTGCTACAATTTTGAATTTAAATTAACTTTCTCTAATAATCTCTTAAATTTAATTCTCTAACGCAAATTAGAAGTTTCATTTCTCCATTAGAAATCCAACGTTCACATACAACTTAAAGTTTGTTTTTGTCCAACAATTTCTATTATATTTGATTTTATCGACAAAAAAGTGAAATATTTCCTATATTCCGTTATTTTTTTGGCCTAAAACCAAAATCTAATTTTTTCCAGTGCAAGAGCGGCCTAACCCACATATGAAGGCTGCTGAGCCCCTTATTTTAGATATTCATTAAATTTCTCTTTCAAAAATAGCTTCATAAAATAGAAAATTTTATTAGGTTAAAAAACGAAATAGTTTTTTTGTTTTTTCAGGAATTTGTGAAATTTCACGAATTATTCGATTTTGAAGCACCAGATTTAAACTGCAAGTGAACTATTGCAAGATATACTGGAATACAAAAACACACATTTCCGCAATTTATAATAATTTACAATTTAGGTAAAATTCAAAACTGTAACAATTACGATACGCCAATCTGCGCATCATTCACATTAGCTAATTCACATTTTTGTTTGCCCAATAATTTTATAATGCTATGGAGCAAAAACAAAATTATATTTACATATACATACCAACATTAAAAGTTATTTAACAACACTTAGAATCCTTTTTTTTTTTGAATTTTAAATAAAAAATTTAAAACAAGTATTCAATAGCCGTGCCTTCATTGTATTTAAATTTAAATCATATAGTACAAACCCATTCATTTATGACAGTATAACATATTTAAACTTTTAAATTTATTAAGGGTCATAAATGCTCAAATGTATGTAAATATGCACCATATATTTATATTTACAATTTTTTAAAACGTAAGACATGAAATCCTTTCTCCAAGCAAACAAAAACTCAATTTAAACATTGTACGCAAATTTTTGTATCTTATTATCCTCAATAAACATGTAATTTGCAAATAATAACAATTACTATTATTTAAAGTATGAATGTGTGTATTTATTTAAAATTTATCAGATTATAAAATGCTAGAAAAATGCAAAAACAAATTAAAACAACAAAAATAACAAAGAAAAAATAAAAAGTGGTTAAAAAGTTGAGTTTTTCTTCTCTTACAGTTGATTGTGTTCGTAATTTTATTTTTATTTTTCTTTCTTTTTTCTAATAGAAAATTATATTTAGTAGAAAATTTGTGTCAGACAGTATTTTCGCGCATGAATTGACCTACAAAATCAGAACTCTTATAAAGACATGATTCAAATAGCACAGCTTCCATTTAATAAAAATCCATTGAACGTTATTGTTATCGTATAAAAATTAAAAGAAAATTCAAAATAAGAAAAAATTTCCATTTAAGAAAATTTTTAAGATTTTTAATTGTTTTAAAAACAAAAATTATCGTAAAAATCATAAAATGCCGGTAATAAAAAAGTGAAGAAGAAAAAAATAAAAAATTCTTTTAACAAAAGGGAAATTTTGTGATTTTACCATTGAAAATCTTTACGAGTAGAGAAGAAGTAATGTAATCCTTTACATTGTTAAAACGAAAATTTGATTTCAAAATATAAATTTAATAAGTGTCTTAAAATAACAACTTCTTCTGCAATAAAAGTTTAAACAAAAAAAAAAAATAATTTTAAATTTTAAATTATAAATAATGCCTAAATATATAAAATTTTCTCAAGGGACTTTAAGAACATTATTAATTATTTTTACGATATTATTTTATACAACAATTTTTATATACACAATAACATCAGTGCCATCAGTTAAAGCTACATCATCAATTAAGAAAAAAAATTTAGAAATATCAAATACAGCAATAATTTCTGATTTGAGTACAACAACAAATTTAAATGATACAATTCGTCAACCACCAGACAATTATTTGATAACAAATCAAAAGGAATGTTTAAAATCTCGGAATTTTTTATCATGTTTAAAATATCGTGCTTCAAAATTTATATGGTCATTGGCAACAAATCGATATAAATATTTTGATTCATCAAATAGTAGATCCTTAATTAATATAAATAAAAATAATTATAATGATGAAAATTTCAATGATGATGATGACAATGATGATGATGATGATTTAAGTACAGGCAGAAATGAAAAAACTTATAATAATTCAATTGTTAACAAGAAAAACTTTCAAATGAAATTTGTATATTTGAATACACCAAGTGATTTAGAATTATTTGAGGAAACTAGAACATTTCAAGGTAATATATTATAATTATAACAGTTATGTGTATAATATTATAAATATTCAATATTTGTATGCGACACAAAGGAGTTATTACATATATATTTACAATTTAATCCTCCCGTATTAGAGAGGGTATGAGCCACTCAAGCACTAGTTTTCTAGTATCTTAACTGCATATATACAGAAACGCATTCACACAATACAATTTGTGGTTTTATTTTCAAATTGAGTTCCTGCTATACATTAGACTAACCGCATAAATTTTCTTGAACTCATTGTTTATATATACTATATTTATACATTATATGTTTTAGCCTTTTTACAAGAATAAGCGTAAGCAAACTATTTAGGAAAACTCTATAAGGAAAAGTTTAAATGAAGGCACTCTTTATTAAAATAACTCATATAAGTATGTGATCAAGAATTTTTATCGAAAATGTAAAAAAGAAAAATGCTTTTCTTACAAATAAAATTATTCAATCTGTGGCTATAGGGCAAAACATTTCAAACATTCTTTGTCTTTCTTTTAGATACTTTACATAAACGACAAATTAAAGCCAAACTAAAAGTGAACGAAAGATAAATTGCAATAATCGAATAAATAATAAAGACATGTAGGCACTATAGGCACATTCTAAAACGTAAAATTTTTTTGCATAGATGCGACAGTAATACTACATCATATGCTTTGTTATGCTTTCCTCTTCTTGAGATTTCGAGATTTTATATCAAAATATAAGATAGCAAATTAATGAACTCACATAAATTTACAAATAAATTTTGACAATTATCCAATAGGATACGCCGTTTCCACAAATTTTAAACATCATCTTGATTATGATTACTAAGATGAAAATTAATTTTCCTTTCATGCAGTTTTGAACTTTAGACGGATGCAATGAGCGTATCACGGTTTTTTTTAATTACTCACCCCTACATGTCAAATAACTTCTTTTTTCTGCCGGTATTCCAAAATATCAAAATTTTTGAAATATCGGCAATATACAAATGCATGTTCTTTAGTAATAGAAAAATTACATGCTTGTAATTTGAAAATATTTGAAAAAAATTTAAAATGTGAAAAAGTACCACATTTAGATTTAGTAACTAACTTGGAATATTGCTTTAAAATATTCTTAAAATAATTTAATATTCTGTATAGAACAAAATTTCAGATACGACACAAAATTTTTAATTCTTAACGAAAAAAAATACTAATATACTTTTTACGGGTGTCACACTTTGTAGCAGTAAAATAATGTTAAGATTTTCAAATAAAAACTATTATTAATTTTACGCTCAAACATACATTTGAAACATACACTACTCACAGTTTCAATTATTCCAAATATTTTCAATTTTTAATATAAAAACTTTCTACTAAATATTTTTAAGTTAAATTTATTTTTAAGGTGACGGTGAAATATCAAAGGCGGTAAAATTTGTTAAACGTGCTATTCAAACATTCGTACAACATCATGGTTTACAAGTTTCACTGGATAGTCTTGGTGGATTTCAAGTATCCAGAGGTGGAAAAAATTTTATAACAGGTAATAAAATAAAATGAAAATCAATATGAAAATATTTACAATTTTGCAAAAAAAAATTAAGAATATTTATTAATTTTTATATTCCTTACTATATGCATATAAATATATAAGAAAACTTTCAGAAGCCAAATACGGAATATTTTATTATTTTTTTCATTTTATTATAATCTCTCTTTTTGTTTACTTTCAATTTTGCTGTACATCTCTGTTTATCTAAATTTTTATCATAAACATTTAAAATAAATGCATTACTTAAAGTCATGAGTATAAAATTCAATTACAATTCATGAGTATAAAATTTTGTTACAACTAAGTAAATTAATATTTTTTACCAATTTTATACCATTTTACCAAAATTTGAAATCTTGCCCTACTTAATTCAATAATACCAAATGCGTACCGCATAGCCATATTTCATAAAGAGAGAAAACATTAAGTATAGATTTCTTAAGAAATATTCAATTGCTTGTAATATTTTTGGTAAAAATTTTTTTGAAATTTTTAAAAGATCCTCAAATATTATATTCGCGACTATTCGGCTTTTCTGTTTTAAGATCTAATTATTTTATCATACACAATTATTAAGTATAAATGCTTTTCCAATATCTTCCCATCCTCTTTAAGAGTGAAACACATTTTTCTATTGTCAGCTACCACATTAATAATTTTATGAATTTAATTTTTTTAGATTACATCCGCTATTCTTATATTCGAAATTGGATTTGAAATATCCTGTCAAATATTACGAGTATCATATAGTTATTACATTATACATACATGAGAATTACCTTCATATCAAGTTCAAATTTATGGCAGAATTTTCTTTTTTTATTTATATCGTAGCTAAAAAAAATTGGAATAATAATGGTAATAAATAAATTCAAAAAATAAAATGCGCTACCATAAGTTTTCTACCCATTAATTATATTAAAATTTTTAAAAGTAAATGACATGTATATGAAAATGTATAATCACATTTATTTATACATACAAGTTTTATTAACTATTCTATTTAAACAAATAATGTAGTTAACGCCAGTAGACCATTTATGTAGGTATTTTAAAATTTAGTTTAATGGTATCATACCATAAAAAGTATATTATATTATATGAACTATGAATTTATTGCACTCTCTACCTATTGGAATAGAAAAGAAAATGAAAAATATGAATGATTTTCTCACAACATTCACAATCGGTTGAAAAACAACTCTTCTTCTTGTTCAGCAACATTTTTTTCAATTAAAAAGAAAAGTGGACTGTAATTTCCTCAACACTATATAAAATAAATAGAAAAGAAAAAAAAATGTAATAAAAATTTTTAATACAAAACAGGAGTCTCTTTATCAAAATCAGGTTTTCATTAAAAATTTCAACAATATTACCTACAGGCAGGCTAAATTCAAGTTTAAAATATTAGCAAAAATTTTAAACAAGTTTAATAATAACGATTCATGAATCATGGTTATGTTTCAAATGAAATTTAGAAGATAGTGAGCTAATGACTAAATTATGCAAAACATAGAAAGTGAACACAGTTAATATTGTTGCAGAATTAATTTCTGATACACATAACTACCATTTTTCGATTTTAAAATTAGTTATATATAGCCTATAGATTATTCTTCAGGACAAGCAATTAAAATCATCTTAGCTATTCTTTTATTGACCTTATTGATCTCTCTAAGTGATTTTACTTTTCTCTAAATTATTTTTAAAACATTATTGTAATTAAATTTTATACTCAAATAATTTTGGAGAATTTGTCAAAAACAGCATAACACAGCATTGCAATATAATTGCAGTTAAACTGCTTTTGACAAAATGCCTAAGATTATAATAAATTTATTTTTTTAATTATTTTTAATTAAGAATTTAATCCATTAATTCTTTTTATACGAAAAAAAAGTTTTAATAACAACTTATTAAGAAATTATTGTATCCATGCATGTATTCACATACCTTCAGCCACACAGTTTTAATTTTTAGTAAAAAAATCCATTATTTTAGTTTACAAAATATAATTGCAAGTCAAGCATACAAAAATCAATATGTATCAAATGTATAGTATGTACCTAATGCTATTTGTTATTGTAATACTATTGTTGATTGCCTAAGTTGCCTATTATGTAAGACTTATAAATATGCTATTGCAATTGAATGTTTTAAAATCAAAAAATTAAAAATTTAATTTTTAAAAAAAATTTATAAAATTTTTTTAGTACTTAAAAATTAATTTTCAAACACTATACTTACATTTAATTTGATCGTGGCACAAAAAGTATTTGTCAAGGTTCATTCATTACTCACTTTTAGTCTCACAAAATGTCAATTACATTTTTGGTTCACCAATGTTTTAACAACTTTCAATACTTATATTCATAGTTAAAAATTTATTTCACCTCTTTTGATGCATCTTTGTTCGTACATTCTAATTCGCAGTTTTAATTAAAATGTTTATTCACCAATTTTTTTTCTCTTTTTTTTTAAATTATTATATATGTATTATTATTCTATTTAATTACTTTATTTTCTACTTTATTTATTTTATAAATAAAATTTATTTATATTTCATTTTCTTTATTATTTTAAAATTACAATCAACTAACTACCTTATCACTTCTAAAAACTGAAACTTCAAATTTGATACCTCCCTGGAATGCTAACATTATAATATTTTAAATAATATACGTATGTATGTATGTACATATTAAAATAAATCACAATATAACACTGTTATGTACATACATTTATCAACAAGATGTAATTTACAACTTTTTAATGCTTAAAGGTCGTGGTCACAATCATAAGGAAGTGAAAAAAAGATTAAAATTCGCCATCCTGTTACCAATTATAATTTTAATAAAACTATTTCATTTTAAATTGACTGTTATACCGTTACTATTTTTAATGAACGGTCTTAACTTACTCTTAATTGCTGGTGGTACATATATTTTGTATTATTTAAAACATCATACAATATGTAAAATTAAACCACATTTATTGGAATCCCATTCACATGTATGGAATGAGGTACCATCGGGTAAGTATATTTAATGAAATATATCATAATAATAATTATTATACATACATAAATATTTATGTTTGTTAAGTAAAAGAAGATCTATACATAATTTATACATTTACTTTCAATACTTTTATAATATTAATGTATTACTTTATAAATTATGTATGTATGTATTATAATTTGAAATTTTACAAGGAAATTTTTACGATTTAAAAAAAACTGGGACTTAATATTTGAATAAATCTAAATTCATGTAAAATTTTTTTTTATATTTAACTAATTTAAGAATTAATGTAAACAATATTAATTATACTTACCCGTAAATAAAATATATGTATGTAATACCACCAGCAAAAATATAAAATTATACAAAGCCGATTACAATTTCATTATAACTTAAGCGATACGATTGTCAAAATTAAAGCCTTCTAAGCATTAAAAAATCATTAACTATAATATAAAATTTTATTTAAATATTAATTTGAATAGTTTAAGCACCAATAATTTTTATTACAACAAAAAAAAAATATATACCTATTTTTAAAGAATATCGTGGACATAAAAAAACTCGAAAGAAATTAAAATGGTTGATTTTATTCCCGCTGATAATATTGGGAAAAATAGCATCATTAAAAATGTCAATGGTTGTATTGATGTTTACAGTAATTGGCGCTCAATTAGCACTTGCTGGTGGTTTTGCATTTATTATATATTGGCTTAAGCATACTTATTTATGTAAAATCAATCCGAAATGGGCTGAAAATGTATCAGGACCAACTTGGGATGAAGAAAAAGGTAAATTTGGATAATTATACAAAATAATGTTTAATCATAAATTACATATAGAGATTCAGCAATTAAAAATAAAATGATGAATTATTTGCATTTTGCAAGTTATTAATTCAATTTTCTTTTATTTTTCACCTCAATAGAAGAAAGCATTTATATTATAAATTTAGAGCATTTTTTATAACATTACAAATTTATTCAAATTGAAATTAATAACATTATTGCTTAACAGTCAAAAATTTTTTAAATATTTTTAATAATAATATTTTTTTAATTAAATTGATTTGTGATTTTTTATACTTTGATGTGAGGTGCTGAATTTAACGTAATTGTATTTAGTACAGGTACACAGAAACAACAGAATTAAATTATACAGACAACATTTAATCTTTTCATTACTTATATAATAATAAATTTGTTATTAAAATAATCTTAGATTTTATAGCGCCTATCAAAACATTGAGCAAGTTTGGTTCTAGTATACCGTTATATTTTTCTGATTATTTTGCTTTTACATATAATTTACAAAAATGCAAATGAATTCCTATGAGATATAAATGTGTATGTGTTGATATAACTTCCTCATTTTGAATTTTAAAATAGTAGAACTCGCAGAATATAGTAGATAAAATATTTTTAAACCAATTTTTTAAAAATAAAGACATACTTTAAAATTTCTAAATCCATACGTAGTATTATTGTTATACGCAAGAAATGTACATAGTTATGAAAATTATATATAAATATAGTTCTTAGTGCGGTATAAAAGAAACAATTCTCAATTTACTACTTAGCTTCCTTATTTATATAAATGTAATAATAATTAATATTCCTGATTAAAATCAACTTGAAATAATAAAAAATTAAAAGCAAAAAATTATGTTATCAAATATAGGTCATTTTCGACGTAGTTTTAATGGGCGGACTTATTTGTCACCGAAAGGTAAGGTACCTTCGGAATTTAAAATTTGTATTTATATATTTATAGATAAGTATGAATATACATAATCTATTTACAAACACTTAGCTATTCCAGAACATTTCTATAAAAGCAATAATTCCCTTTTAATCTTACATAAAAGGTCTGGTGCTATGCTTAAAATATTTAATATTTATTGAACCCCATAATAAACTGGTAATTAATATACAATATTCCCGGTTTTAATATCTTAAAAATTTCCTTAATTTTACAAATAAAATTCATAATATAATAATATTTTACTTTTAATTATTATATTTTTTTGTAACTTTATTTTTTTTAATGAAAAATTATATTTTCATTTTGAACAGATTATTCATCATTTGGTTACCCTGGATCTGATTCAAGCAGTCCTTTTGTTTTAGGTAACAAAGATTGGGCAAGTTCCAAGGCATACAATGCGTACAACTATTTGGATACTATAAGTCGACCAATTTAATTTAATTAAATTAAAAAATACAAAATTGTACTTATCGAATGTCTTATTTAAAACAAAGATTATGTAATTAGTTATTTAGCGAATGTGTATAACTTTAGGTGTAGGTTTGTCATAAAGATCTTTTCCTAAATTTTTTGAAGCACTTAACTCTCTTCTAACTTTTGACTGTAATCACAACATAGCGTATATTATACAATAACAGTTAATATAAAGTAATCAGTTCGAAATTCATATACTTTTTATTCACAAACGAAAAATTTTAAAAAAAGGAAATATTTTATTACAAAATTCGCGAAACCTTCTTTAACCTTCGAAATATCACGTATGTTGCGAGAACCCTTCTTCCAAGTTTGATGAATAAATATTAATGTAAATTTTAAGCCGTAAGCTGCAAAACTGCCATTGGCACAAAAGTTATTTATTTTCAACTTTTATAAACCTTCAACTTTCCCTCTTTTTTAGAGTTAATTCCACAAAGTTATTTAAAAATTTCAAAGCAACACACAAATCACTACTTTTCAATAAAACCTGCAACTACCTACCTATTATTCTAAAAATCCTTTTCATTTCTCCTAAAAATCACTTTTTATCTATAATCAATTTGTTATACTGTTATAAATCAAAATTAAAGAGAGTTTGTCATTAACGTAATTTAAAAAATAAACTAAAGCCATTTTTTATTTTCATATATGGTGTTTGTAAATTTAAATTATTTTTACTTGTTTTATATAGATTATTTTTTAACCAAAAAAAATTATTAATTAAGGAATTTTAGTTGGTATTAAGTAGTAGGTTTTAACTTAATATTAAAATTTTTACGAGGTTCTAAATATAAGCGTTTTTTGGTGAATGCACTTAATGTTAGTTTTATATTGTAGGTATTGTGAATGTTAGTTTAAGTTATTTATTTTGTGATCGAATGAATTTTATACAGATATTATTTTTAATAAAAATAAAAAAGCATTAAATTTTATAAAAATTTGAACTATTTTTACTTTTTTAAATTTGCAAAGATTAAAAAAAATTTTAAACCAATTTAAACACAAGTTTGTTATTAATTTTTAATTACATATTTTTTATTGGCCTCTAGTATGTTTTACGCAGCGAAGTAGATGTATTAAAAGTAGATGTAGGTGCGTATGTAGATTTTACAAAAACTCCATAATATTTCGCATTGTTTCGTTTTAGTTTCCGTCTTAAGACAAATAGGACATTCAAATAAAACTCTTTAACAACTATGTCTTACATACTTCAGATTGGCCAATGTCATAAAATCAAAACGGTTCGATATTTTTAACTTTTCACTTTTTTTTATCCTTAAAAGTCCAGTGAACAACTTCCCAAACTCTAAAATTTTTTTAATCAAACCCATTTCTGCTATTTTTTACCTTGATTTCTGCTGTTATTTAAAGTTTTTAAAAAAATTTTATTTGAATATTTCGCGGATTTTTCGTAAAATCTTTCAATCCCAGAAATAGTTTCTGAACTCAAACACCTATTTTTAAACACACTTTTTATTTAATTTTTATTTAATGTAGAAATATACCAAAAAATGGTTAATTTATTATTATAGTATGTTGAATAAGTACATACATATTTTTCGTTTATACATTTATATTTTAATATTCAGAATTAAGCGGAGCAGAATACTCGAAATTAATAAAAAAATTGTACCATTTTTTGTCTGTGGTACCAAGATTTTGCTTTCTCTGTACAATATTTTGAAATTCAATCAATGGCAGCTCTGCTCCTTCGTGTAAATAAAAGATTTAACCCTTTCCGATTCGGCAAGATATTATAGAATTCAGATTATTTCAGACTGTAAAATCGATCAAAGTCATCGATATCAACCTTTTTTATCGTGTTTATTGCTATATAATCTGTATAAATATTTGATTTTTCCTTAAAAATATTTCTCAGTCGCTTATACTTAACCCCATCATTCATTCCACAAAGAGATCTTCTTCCACCACTAGACCACTAAAAAACCATTAATTTAAAAATATTAAAAATATATAAAAACCCTAAAAATAGAAGCCCACAACCTCTTGTAAAAATAAAGTCACATTTATGCAAGGTAATGTGTCGGCTATTTGAGACTAATCGAAAGAATTTATTTGGAAATCCAATTTTTATATAACAACATAATATCAAGACTGATAGCTAATATGAACAAATATATTTAAAATAAATCCATTTTGATATACTTACAATGAATCCCGATACAATTCCAACAAATTTTGTAACTCCAGCACTGCAAGATGTATCGCAAATATAGTTTGGTATTTTTGCCATGGTTTAAATGTGTCAAAATTCATAAATATTGGAAACTTCGATTTCATAGTACATTTATATTGGTTTTGTTTTTTAAATAAACAGCCAGCGCCATTTAAAAATTAAAATACTATATATTTGTAATTTGTTTCAAGTTTCCTTATCTATGATCGGAATCACCATATTCACCATATTCAAATCTTTATTGTTATTGTAATTGCTGAATTTACAGCTTCTAGTAATAATAATTTATAAATTTTGTAAAACAGAAAGGTTTGGATATTTGCTAAATATTCGTATTGTACAAAAAATAACTTTGTATTAATTTCTAAACAAGAGCTCCGAAAATAAAATTATTGTTTCAAACCAAGAAAATGAAAAACATGTGGAATGGAATCTTGGAATCGAGGCAGAAGTAATTCATTATGGAGTTATATGTAGTTCATTAAATTCCTATCTAGAATCATCTATATTGAGTTATGATATAACCAAATACGAATGTATATCAGCATAGTTTGTTCTACAAACTAAACTACAAAAAAAATTTAAAAATGTTTGAACATTTAACATTTATTCTACTTAAATACTGTAAAATAATATAAATGAAGTTGCTTAACTGTTAAAATATAAAGAATTTTTAAAAGTATTTTTTTGTGTAATTAGTAGAATAAAATATTTTTTTTATAATAAATCGTTTTTGGTATTACAGCCATAAATTTTATTTTGCTACGGCAACACAGTTCGATGTCATATCTGAAATTGTCAATTGCGTTGATTAATCAAAAATGAAATACATTACAGACTATCATTTGACTTTTATATTACTTGTACATTTTTTATAGATTTACTTTTTATTCAATTCGAAGAAAATTAAAGTAGAATTGGAAAAAAAAATAAAAAGTTTTTAGATACGAATTTTTATTAATATTCTATCAGCTATAATGTCCCAAACTGGTGCATCTGTAGCTCTTCAGTCAAATTGTACAAAAGTGTTTATTCCAAGAGACTATTCCGAAGGGACTGCAGTGAAATTTCATACGAGGCTGCCGAGTGAATTAGAAGGATTAGTAAGTAATGAAATCTTAATGATAAAAAGCACCTTTTCCATATTGCTGTAAAGAACTAGTTAAAACTAAGGTACAATATAGAATACATTAGATAAATGAGAGGACTCTAGACAAAAAGTTTTACGTATTTCTTGAATATTTGAACAAGATTTTAAATTTTGCTGAATTTTTTCAACTAATTATTAAAAAAATTTAGTTTAAAATTAAGTTTATTGTTTAAAATGCTTAAATTTAAATGAAAAAATTATTTTGTATAACAAAGATTTAAATCAATAATATTCGTACATCATGTATGTATATTATACATATATATGTATGAAAATTGGATACATACTCTGTTATCTACGAGATATTAATTGGGTCATCTACCTATTGTATTTAATTTACATTAAACAATTATGTTTACTGAAGTTTTCTAAATTGTATAAATGATTTTTCAATTGCATTTCTTTCGCCTATGAAAGTTTCTAAACAAAATTAAAAAAAAACAAAAATAAATAACCAGTCTATTTACTAAAATAGACTGGTAAAAAGAAAAAAGTCTAATAATGGCCTCAAAATATTTTCACATAAAACACCAAGTTTCTTATTAATACCAAGTGCACATTGTTTACAAACATTTATTGTTTGATTATTATTAATTTTAGATTGAAAGGCATGTCTTTGAAGCAACAATAACTAAAATGAATGAATTTTTTGCTGAGGCTGAGAAAGGATCATGCAGCACATATTGTGAAGGTTGTCTAGCTTGTATTACGGCATATTTGGTATATATATGCACTGAAACACATTACGAGAAGGTAATTTAATGTTCTTTTTAATTACTTTAAATAACAAAAGTATTATTTTAGACTTTACGAAAAATATCAAAATTTATTGCTTCCCAGAATGAAAGAGTATACAATCCAAAGGGCCTACAAATAACTGATCCGACATTCCGCGGTCTTAGAGTTATAGAAATATCTATTTTAGATCGTCCCGGTCGAACGTGACTTCCGCTTTCTCACTCCACAGAAGAATTTTTCATGTAAAGTGGCATAATTTATATTGAATTTTTTTTTTTTTTTGAGGACACCGTTGATTAATATTTTTAAAAAAATTTAATTCTGCATTATGACAAACGGGTGCCTTTAAAATAATAATATATTTATATGTATACTTATTTATTTTGAGTTCAATTTTTAAATTGAATTATAAGTTCTGCAATATAAAATTTATTTACAAAATTTTAGGGTTTTATAAAAAAAAAAAAATGAAATCAGGGTTATTTTAAAAGTTATAAATATTATAAAATGTACAACAAATATGTTACAAATGTACAATATAATTTTGAAAATGGTTTGTTTATTCTAACTACTAAACTTCTTGTAATTTATATAGATTCAAATCTATTGAATAAAGTAGGTATTTTTTATTAGCTTATCTTAATTGAAAAAAATTGAATTCGAATTCCGTTAGATTTTTGTTTTAGCATCGAAGAAAATATTTTAAATTAGAATTACGGACCGCGAAAATTGTGGAGTATAACACAAATATAAATTTAGTTATATTTAAATTATTCAATGCTGATAAACTAAAATTAAATTTAAATAATTGTAAAGTTTTTTGCTTATATTATAGAAAATTTGCTTTCGACAAGTCTTTAGTTCATATCTTTTCTTTGTTTTTTTTTTAAATTAAGGAAATTATGTATTGTTATTTTTAAATATTCAAATTTACTTTTCAAAAGAGAAAAAAATAAATGCTTCGGTACGTTGAAAGCTTTTTGAGCTCGTGTAATTAAGTAAAGAAATTTCTTCTGATTTATAATTAAAAACAATAATTTAATAAATAATACATTGGCTTTAGCTTGCTTATATTTTTTAGTGATTTAATAAAGTCGAAAGCAAATATATAAAATATTAGTGTCTTTTATAATAAAGGAACAAGTAAAACTATTACATATTAATATCAACCATCAAACAAGATCTTTAACTTTTAAATAGACACTGCAAGTTACTTACATAAATGTTAACGTTCTTGCATATACTTTTTATGCGACATATTATAAAAACATTATTCAAAATAATTTTAAAATAAAGTTGGAATCGTAATGTCATTCCAGTACATTATACTGCATGTGTACATATTTGTTATCAAGAAGAAAGTATGTAATTGCATTTGAAGGATAAAGCATACAATAACAAAATAAGGAATTAATAAAAAAAAAACCATGTTATAAACATTCATATATATTGTGTTTAAAATTTTAGATTAATTTATAAAGTAGGTAATATTTAATAAATTTATTGAATGTGTTTATTTTATATTATTATTGCAGGTTACTTCAAAATAATTAATTCCCCAAAGAATTCAAACTAAATTCTATCACAATTAATAAATTTGTATAGAAAAGAAATTGGGTAATGTGTTTGACCCAGAAATATGAATGAATTGGACGAGAAACTGAATTTGTTATTTTCAATAAATATTAATTTAAAATTATTGTTTCGTAAAAGATGAGCAAATTAAAATCTCTGCGCGATAAATATAAGTTAATAGGAACAAGAAATCAGATTGATAAAATAGTTCAAAAAGAATATTTTTCAGATGTATTGCGTACTATTTGAAATGATCAAGAGGAATTAACCTATACTGAAATTTTAAGGTGATTTTTTCCTTTTTGTTTGTCTAAATACCGGAGAAATAAAAAACGCAATAGGATTAGGGTTAAATGTGAAAAATAAAGATATTCACATATTGTGTACATCTTAAGTTTCAATAGTCATTCTGAATTTATTAAAAAAATTTTAACCAAATGATCCCGAATAAGTTATACAGAATAAAGAAAATAATTATAACCTACATATACACTAAGTCCTCGAGATACGACATTTTTGGTTCCAGAAATTTATGTCGTAACTCGAATTGTCGTTTGAGGAGGGAAAAAATGTATGGAAACAAAAAGTGAACTAGACAAACTGTTGTATAAAATAATTGATCATTTTTTTTAAAAAAGGTAACAAAGTTTGAAAAAAACAACAAAATATAATAACAAAACCAAAAAAATTCAATGATGTAACAAAAATAAATAAAATAAAATCTAAATAAGTTGATATTTTATCACTTCAATTCGTATTCATAACTACTAACTAGAATTTTTAACTAGAAAAAGTTGATTGTTGAAGTATGTGCTTTAGTCTCGTCTTATAACTAAATTCGGTATAGATTTTTATTCAAAAAACAGTAAAATCTGTCAAAAAAACAAATTTTTTTTTAAATTTTTCAATATCGTATTAGGAACAATGTCGTAAGCCGAATAAAAATGATCAAAATTTATATCATGTCGTAACTCGAAATGTGGTATTAGAAGATGTATCTCGAGGACTTAGTGTATTGCATATTTAAGCTCGGGAATACATAGTATATAATTCATTCAAGAAGAAGACATCCAATACAAATTTATCATCGCAAGTTATAACAAATTTTTTAAGTTTTCTACTGTTTTATTACTTACTTTTAAAGATTGAAAGTGAAAATATAAAAATTATTTTCAGAGAATGCTGCGTAGAAATGTTATAAAAAGATTTATCAAATAATGAAGCTATGTAAAGAAATAAATATTTCAAAATTAAGGAGTAGAAACGATAATCGACAAGGAATTTGGAACGTTTTAGAAAATTTTCAAAATTTAAATAAAAATCCGAGAATGTTTATATTTAGTTACTTGTATATTTACTTTCTATTTTGTTCACATATTATTTTAAAATAAAAAAAAATGAAATAATCATGTGACATTATAAATATTTTACTTGTTAACTAAAAAATCTGTTTTATGTAATCAAAATTTTTTTATCGGTTATTTGAATGTCTAAATTTAATATTTTTTTGACTATGCATGTTATATTAACTATAATAGATATTTTTAAGTTATATTGATTTTCTTTTTGATATCCGTTTCAAATAATGATTTTTTTATTTTAAAATTTGCTTTATGTAAGTACACAGATTTGCAATAGGAATTTATTTAAAGTGTTCTATTATATTTTATTAATTCATTATTATAAAAAAAAAAATGTGTTTAAATTTTATAATAAACACATAGATTTAACATAAATTTTGTTGTTTTAAAAATATAAATAATGGAGTTTGATAATTTTAATTAAATATCGTATTTGCATTCAACTTTGTATTACAAAATAAGTTTTATGAACTAAAAATTAGGGCATTATATATAAATAAGATGATTTATAAAATTAACGTTTAAGCAAATTTAACTGAAGCATTGTATGATCTTGTTACACACATAACTTTTAAAGGATTACATAATATGTAAATGTTAATCAGTTTTTTTTTATATAAGAGAAATTTAATTTAATATTAAAACAAAATTGGAATGTTTATTAATCTTATTATAAATTTGAAATGAATAACATTATTGTTGTAATTATAAATAGCTCGTTAAATTGGGAAATTCAATGCTTAATTATTTCAATATTAATTCCAAAATTTAATAGAAATATACAAATGATATACAAATGATCTTCCAATTGTTCCAATTCAAAACTTTTTTGCAATTGTGTACGAAACTTAATTGAACGTATGTTAGAGTATAAAATTGAATTTTTTTGATAAATCTTTTATATATAAGAGCTACTGCATTGAAAGCAACTGTTCGTAATATAGTTGGTCACCATAATTATTAATAGTGTTGAATGCATTTCTTGGTTGATAATTTAAATAATAACATTACCATAAATAAATATAAATTCAAAATTTAGAATCATATTCGTACTTAACATAAGTATCTTTTTTATATAGTATAGCAAAAAAAAATAAGTTTTTTTTTTTGTTAAATAACATGTTAACAAGAATTATAATGAAATATACTTAATATATATATGTATATTTGTAGTAATATTATTAATTTTTTTTATAAATAAGTAAATTTATTTAAGAATTTATATAATCTACATTTTTTAGCTACAAATAATTTTTTTCTTTTATTTTTATTAATTTATTTATTCTTAAAAGGGATGATTTTTTTTTTCTGTTTTTATTGCTAAAAGTTTCACATAAGTATATTTTTTATTTAGATTTATTTTTTTTAATATAAGTTTTTTTTTTATATTTAATGTGTTATGTTTTTTTTCTTTTGTTAAACTTTAATTAATATAAGGACGATACGATTTCAAAAATTTCATTTTTACTAAGTACATTAATTTTTATTTTTATTTTTTTTTGTATTAAAAGCTTATAAACTACATTGAAGATATTTTATATTATATGTTCAATTAGTTGTTTATCGATTCAAAATTTTGAAAATTTTGTTAGGTAATTAATTTTTATAATTTTATTATATTGATTGAATTTTTTACTTGCAATAAATAAATTTAAAATATTATTGAAATTTTTATAGAAGAATCTATAAATACATAATTATAATAATTTTTTTAAAATGTATATGTAGATATAAATATTTAAGAGCACAAAAAATAACAAACATATATTTTTGATTAATAAAAGTCAATGTTATCAAATTAATGACCAGTTTTGGACAGAATTGCAATCTTGTAAAATGACACTAGATTCTTTGAAAGTTTTCATGTAAGTGTAAAATTCAAATGTAATAATAATTTGTATAATTCAAAAATTTTGAAGCTATTTTATAATTTATTTTATAATTAATATTTAACATAAGCTAATATTCAACGTAAGCTAATATTGTACAAAGTGATAATGTTATTATAAATGAGCTTTTAATTTGATCTAGGAATATTCGAAAATCAAATTTGTTAAAATTCAAATATTACAAATATTTGTTATTTTTTATGATCTTAAATGGTAACATATATTTTTGTTTATACTAGAATAAGTATACATTTGTTTATACATAAAATTTTAAAAATTTACTAGTTTAAATTAATTGAAATGAGGAATTTATGTAAAAGAATTATTATTTAAGATTTAGAATAGAAGTAACAAAAAAATTTTCCTACTTTTATATATGAATTGTGATTTTTAAAATTTTAAGTACAGCTGTATAAAAGTCATAATAAAAACAAATATAAAATAAAAAATTCGAAAATTCAATATTTAATTATTTGGTCAATACATTGATGAATTTGAAGAATATAATAATAGGATGCATGAACTCTTAGAGTGAAATAAAGCATAAAAATAATTTAATATGTGCTTCTGGTTGTTTAAAGAAATTATTTTAATATTTATTGTAAAAGTGAAAATATTTTAATATTTTTAATGTGAACCTATTTGTGAACCTATTCTTTTATTTCTTATACTGTTTCATAATTCTCCATAAATTTTTGTGGGTATTTTACAAAATATCCCCAAAACAAGCAACTAAAAATGAAATTTCATATTGCAATTAAAATTTTTTTAACAACAAAACTCTAAATTTCAAAATATTATTTAAAATTGCAAAACATATTTTTTATATGTAATTAATTTTTGTTTAAATAAAAATTATATACCTACTTAATATTATAATTTAATATAGTAAATAAAAATTAAAATAAAATTGTATAATAACTTAGTGTATTATTTTATCTAAATTGTTAATATTATTTTCAAAAATACTTTTTCTAAAATATACAAATTTCGTTAACTTTCCTATTCATAAAGGAATAGATAAGTCTTATACAGGACATTATATGCATTTGCATATACATTAACTCATTATATACTCACTATATATAGAATTAGGTATATTTAAATAGATTTGTAATGAATATTTAATTTAAGAATAAATTTTTTTTAAGACTATTGCTTTGAAATTTTGAAACTATATAATTATATATTTCATACATTAACTATGTATAATAGTATATATACTTAAGTATATAACATACATTTTTTTCTTAGAGATTTTTAGAGAATGTTTTTCATATACTCGTAGTTATATAGCTAATATAATATTAGATTATCTATTTAAATTGAAGTCCATCCTATATATAATGCATAAGTTTCAATAGAATTTTAATTGTAATTTAATTTTAATGAATGAGCATAATTCTATATAAACAATCTCAAATTATAATTTTTTTTGTTTTTTTTTTTTTATTAATTAGAATAGTTTATTTAAATGATAAATTTGAGTTTTTTCATTATATTTATACTATAGTATAATTGTATAATTTATTTAAATTTTTCTTAAAATTTATTTATATTTATAGATTTTATTGATTTTTAATAACTCTAATTAATTGTTGGTTTTTGTGCTAGAAACATTTACAAAAATTTTACAATTTTTTTTTTGTTATTTCATATAATAACTATGTAATTTGGTTTTGTTATTTTTTATTTTATCTTTACTATAAATTTTGCAATATTTTAAATTTAAAAATAAAAAAAAAATGCAATAAATAATTTTTGTTTAAATTTTTCCTTCTATTTTTTTATAATTATAATTTCAATACTTTTAATATTAAATATTTTATTTAAATAAATTATTTTTTAAAGTTTTTCTTACATTATTTTTATTTTAAAATATTTCATATACATTTTTTTTTATTTATATATTTTATGTATTGTTTAAAATTAATTAATCAATTTTTATAAATCATTTTCAGTTTTTATTAATAATATTTTAATTTTTGTGTTATGATCTTAAAAATTATATTATTTTTATATCCTTTACACTTATACATAACATTATTAAATAAGTTATGTTTTTAGATATATTACTATATAATATGTTTGTATGTACATTTAACATATTTGTAATAAAATATATTCACAAGCATAATATAATTTTTTAAAAGATTTTCTCCCGAAATAGGGATAAAATTCTATACCAGACCCAAAAAAGAAAAATAAAAAATAAAATACTAATATTTCATAAAAAAAAATAAAAACAACAAAAAAAAAACAAGAAATATGAAAATATGAATAAAAAAAAATACTAAAGGGAAAGCTTAATAAATAAAAACACAAAAAAAAAAACAAAAATAAAGAATCCTTGGTATACATTTCTTTTATTTTTTTCTATATTTTGTTTTTTTTTGTCTTTATTTTGTCTTTATTATATTATTATTATTATTATCCTTAATTCAAAATTTTATCCTGTGATTTATGTCACAAAAGTGAAAAGAATTTTGATTTCTTTTTAACTTTTTCTGATTTCGGTTCACTTGAAGAATTTTTACCACTTGAAGTTGTTGTTGCTGCTGATTGTTGTGTTCCACCACCACTAATACCGCCGACGCCACCGCCACTACCAATTATTTCATCACATTCAAATGATTTTGTTTCATTATCTGGTGTTTTTAAAACCCTTTTATTACCAGCTGTAATTGTAGATGATGTTGAACTACTATTACCAGCACCACCAACTATACCAGTATTACTATTATTTGTTGTTGTATATGATTCTTGCATACTTGTACTATGCAATGATTTTGATAATTTTGATCGTACTGCCTTACCAAGTGCTGTTGTCTTTTTAATACTACTAAAACGAGAACGATGATGTTCTGGTGTTGGTGGATCACCATCTTGACTATGTTGACAATTTAATGTTACTGATGTAAATTCAATATCCTTTATCTCTTCTTCTTTGCATGCTATATGTATATATATATATATATATATATATATAATGTAATTAATATTTATTTAATTTTATGTATATAAAATTGTTATGTATATTAGTTATTGTTTAATTTTGATAATATTATAATATAATTTTTCATCATCATTTTAAATAGGAAATAAATTGATGTAGAAAAGAAAGAAAAAGCAATAATTATAAAAGAAAATTAATGTTATTATAAATGAGAAAATTTACAAATAAAATTTATTAGTGTTAATTTAAAATAAATAACAATATAATATGTAAAAAAAAAAATATAAAATTAACAAGTTAATTAAATTGGCTTATGCCATATATCTAGTGATTAAATGTGTTTTAATCGATTATTACACTTTGATATTTAAATTTAAAAATTATAATATAATATAAATGTTTTTTTCGTAATTTACACTCTATAAATTGTCCTCAATTAATTTAAATTTCCTACAAAATTAAACATAAAGATTGAAATTTTGTTATATATTTGATCTAAAGTCGGCAAATTCAAATTATCGGAGCATCAAATTACAACGAAAGTGCCGTTAATGTAAATATGTTTGATCCTCTCTCTATTTTTAAATAAACGAAAATAAATGTACAGTATTTCGGAAAAATTTACCCCAATAGAGAGTTGTTGATTTATAATTTATTTTATCGTAAATTACAAAAACCATTTAAATTAAAAAATTATTTTTTACCACTTAACATTTACATATAGTTTATTAATTAGTTTTTACTCCCATAGAACAAAATTTTTACTCGAATTACCATTACAAATTCTCTTCATTACCCTTTCCTACTTTTTTTCAGTATAGAAAACGCAAAAAATTATATATTTATTGGAAAATTAAATGAAAATATGCTCATAAAACTTTTAATGTTATGAAATTTTTATCATAAGTCAAATCAAATCTAAAAATATTCCTATATTACTTAATGCTTTTGATTTCTTACAATTTCGGAATTAATTCTTTTTTTCTTATAGTAAAAATATATCACATTTGATTGATGGTAAATGTCCCTTTATATGATAAAATTCATTCCTACATCAAATAGATCTATATTTTTAGATAATTTATGTATAAAGAAACTTACATAATATATACAATAGGTTATATATTATTTATGACTGTATAAGAAATTTCATAACTCGAATATTCTGCCACTTAATTAATGAGGAAAATATTCTTGAATATTTTTGAAATTTTTGCAAACTAAAGAGGCAGAATATAAAATTAATGATTAATATTTCACGATTTACGAACCAATAAAAATAAATATTATAATTTAATATTTTTTTTTCTTATATAAGCTTATGTTATAATTTTATTATTATATGAGCACAATATTTTTCATACAGATTATAATTATAAATGAGTAACTTCGAAATGAGTAAAATGAGTAAATTCGAACTCAACGACAATTTGTTTTATTAAACAATATTTTTCTTATATTAATAATATTTCAAATTGACGCTATAATCCTACTTTATACAATATATATTTCTTATTCTTTTTTCAATATATCTTACCAGAAAACTCTTCAACAGGTCTATCAATTGTATCATCATCGATCCATGTTAAACCCATTTCAACTTTTTCAGCTAAATCTTGCCAATTACTACGATTTTCTAATGTACCTTCATATAATGGTTTCATCCAAGGGAATGTATCACAAAGAACACGATATAATGGTAAACAGATTAAATCAATAAAACCAACTTGCATTTTTGGTAATTCATCCTTACGTTCTCTATTTATTTTTATAAAAAAAAATTATGAAAAAATTATTTTAATAAATTCATAAGAAAATAAAATTTTAATTAAAATTTAATTAAAATATAAAATAACTTTAATTTATTTTAAAATATTGTTATACAAAATTTATGTGTCTGTATAATATTGGTGTTATCGAGATTTTATTTTCATATTTAAATCAAAGAAAGAAAAATTGCTTAATGAGAAAATAATATTGTAAAATTGAAATTTTATTTTATATAAAAATTAATTAATTTTGTATGCTTTTCGTTTTATATTCATTAAAAATCTTTTTATAATAATTAAAATATTAATAACAAAAATTATTCTTCATTATACAAAAGTATAATTGGGTAGTCTCTAAAGTATTGATCATCATGATTGTCAATCATGTTATTGTAAAGTAGGTTGGCTAATTGAACTATTTAATATTTTTAATTGTGGGAATTTTTAACTGGGGCAAAAATGTTACTTTTATACATTCGCATAGTGATGCATATTATCATGCATATTGAATTGTCAAATCATGCATATTAAATTGTCTTGCATGTAAATCGTAGTAATAAACTGATACTGCTGGTCAAAGTAGAAAAAATAATTTAAAAATTTAACAAAAAAAATGCTTCCATTTAATAACTTTGAAAATTTACTATGAAAAAACTTTAATACTATTATGAGAATGGAAGATTCCGCCGTAACATGTTGTGGTGTTTTCAGTGCTTTAAAAATTCCTAACAGAATGCTTTACTAATGCAATTCTATTTATACTTTAAAATGCTTTCTCTGACAGAAAAACTTTTTATTCACACATATTAAAAAAATACAGTGGTCTTATTATTTAATTCGATTTTCGTATTCGGAAAAATGGTAAGGTAATACCAAACAATTTGTATGGTACTACCTTTCCACCTCTGCTAAAAACGAATTACTCGTACATAGTATGGCCCCAGTCTTAAATGTACAAAAAGAACTTCGCTTTAAAATATTTAATTCCCCTTTAAAAAATTTAAAATACTTTTACATAAAATATTTTTAAAAAACATATTGCGATTTCGAAGATTTAAATTAAAATTTTTGAATAAAATTTTGTATTTAAAATCCTTTTAAATTTAGTATCCTAGTGGGATGACCCTAGTGGGATTTCAGTGGGAGTCCTTTAAATTTTTACTAAAAATTACTTTAAATTTTTAAACAGAAATTTATTCGAAACTGCTGATTCTGAATTATGTAAAATTTTAGCTTATTGTCATAGATTAAAGTAATTCTAAAATTACTAAAGATAGTCTGTACTTCAATTCAAAATCGGACTTAAAGTACATTTCATAAAATACAAAAATCAATAAACTTTTAATAAAAAATAATAAAATTTTTTATATTTGCGTGTTAAATAAATGTTTTTACAAGTATACCTATGTATATGAGTGTAGGTATGTTTATTAAAATTGAACACAAGGAATAAAAACAATAAAAGATCTTAATATTTTTCTAAATGATATCTTTATATATATATATAATAACTAATAGAATATACAGAAATAAAAAAAATAATAAGTAAAATTAATAATTTTTGTAAATAATGAGTAATTGTTTACATGATATTAAAAGGTCAAAAATATTTTCTATTTTAATAATAGCGACATGGTACTCGTATATAACAAAAAGTCTTTTATTATCGATTTATTATATTGTCATCCTTCATCTTAGTTAGATACTGTATAATACATGTATGCATCTATGTATATAGAATTAAATGTACATAAGTACTAGTATATATATACATAAAGCAAAAATAGATTCTTTGTAAGAATTTTGATCCTTTTATTTTTATTTTTGAACAATATAATCGAAAGTCAATAAAAATAAAAAAAATTTGTAGAAATGTAATAAAAAAAAATATTCGAATAAAAATTATAATTTTTTCATATAAAAATATGTACATATAAAATTATAGAAGGTTTCTTTCTATTTTGCTATTTTTAAATATTCTTATATCGCTGTATGTACATGTATAGCTATATTTGACAATATAACCCGTTTTAAAGAGAAACTTTTCTATATAAAAGGTTTTAAGAGATTTTTCTTATTTAACTGGGAAAATAAATTCTCAATTAAATAAAGGAAAATATTTTAAATAATGTAAATTAAATATTTCAGGTCATCGTGTTTCCGATTCCATGTCGTATGGTTAAGACTTACGAATTTGAAATTTTTAATTTTATCATGAAATATCCTACAGCAGGGATGGCAAATAGGGTTTGATCAAAGTGCCAAAATTTGGGGAAATTTATTGTCACACTTTTTCCCGTGCCAGCACAGTACCAAGTACAGGTATGGTTAGGTAAATACAATATTATGACAAGTTGTAATAATATTTATTTATACATATTATAGTTCAAGGTATAAAAATTAATAAATACAGATAGAAAAAATATTAATTTAATTTTTTATCAGAAACTTTTTGTTTCATATTACTTGCAAGAGTTTTTATGTCGGGCTGGTACATTGTTGACTGCAGAGTAATACATGCTGCCGAATCTTCCTCTGTTAATCTGTTTCTAGTCTTTGAATGTACATGATTCAAAACGGAAAAAAGACTTTCGCAAGAGTAAGTGGAAGAGAAAATCGTTAACAACGAGATTGCTAATTTTTTGACAGAATAAAAGGTATCTGGCATACTATTCCAAGCTTCTAAAATTTTACTTTCCATGAAACATTCTGATTCCACATTTTGGGATCGATGGCTTTCTAAATCTTCAACAAGCTTCCGCATATTCACAAATTTATTTACCCAAATTGGATTGGATTGCAGATCAATAATTTGCATTTCTAAATTATCTAATCGCATCCAATTAAGGAGGTTATTGTCACAATCTTGCATATCAAATAAATCTGGGTAATTAATAATTTTTAAAATATTTTCGATTCTTTTAAAATCGAGAAATCTTTGTGCAAACTGTTGCTTAATAGAAACAAGAATATTTGTAAATTCATAGGTGATTTCGCTATTAGGAAATTATCATTTTTAGGAAATTTTTCATTCAATCAATTTTTCAACGAGTTTTTAGATTTTTTATTAGAAAAAAAATCTATATAAAAATTTGTCGAGGCACAACTATAACGTGCCATCAAATTTTTTTTCCGTGCCAAGTTTGGCACGCGTGCCCTTTAATTGCCATCCATGTCCTACAGCTCACATTTTATAAAAATTATTTTTGTAAAATATAGTGTTGTGATAATCGCAACTTTATTAATAATTTAAATAAAAATATTGTCTTTTTATAGGAAACTAAATTTCATATTCCTTGTATACAAATTTCCCCCATATTAATTTCACACTACGTTGGTGTGATGGTGAATTATAAAAGCACAATTTTATAATTCGTTCTTTCAAATAATGCTGATTTTATTATACGACAGTTAATACCCTCTAGGCCGAAAAATTAAAATGGAATTATAATGGGCTGAAGTTGTAATTATAGAGAACTGGTCACAAATAAAGTTCTTTTACAGGTTTGAATTTGTTCTGATTTAAAGTAAAATTTTATTAATTTTAATATTTACGATAGTTTTTTTATTAAAATATTTTATGATATTAGGGTTGGACACTTTACATAATTAAAACAATTTTTTAATAAGGATGACAAAACAAAGGCATATTAAGTATCAAATCTGTGGACGGGCTTTGTTGTCACTATATGATAAGTAAGAGCTAATATTAAATTTAAAATTGAAGGCAAATTTTCAATTTTACGCTTTATGTACATGTATTAAGTTAAACCGCTATAAGATGAGTTCCCGCAAGCTGAGCTTCTCCATAACGCTAGCATATTTACATATATTTTTATTTTTCATGCCCCAATTAACGTTAAGTTTCTCTATAGTACACAAATTAATTTTGTTGCAAAATAAAGGTCTGACTGTATAAACTGTCTGACTGTATTCCCGAATACTTATTAAAGTTTAAAAATAACAGTATTATGTATAACATTGACACAATAATGAAATTTATTATTATTAATTATGCTCTATAAATTTTATAGAATACTTTTATTATACAAATTTATGCAAATATATACATTTGTGTTATATACATACATTATCTTATTTGTATATGTACATATAACTTAGTCTCTTTTGAATATTATAACATACATATATATATGTATATATATTAATAAAATTAACTTGTTTTTTTGTTCAAATTACCTGTCCATCATAGCAACTGGTTGTGTATTTAATTGTAATTTTTCTAAATCACCCTGATCAAAAAATTCATCAGCAACCATTTTAGCAACACGATGTTGAACTTCCCATGGTTTTGCGATAGCGCTAACATCGCATGCTGTCATCATCATTCCACATAATACTTTTTTTTTTTTTTTTATTATTAATATTTTTTTTATTGTGATTTTATGATTTTTCAATTATTTTCATATACAAAATATACAATATATGTACATGTTGTGTATGTGTTTGTGGTCGTGTATAGTTTAATTTTTGTTGAATTTTTGATCATCGTGAAAATGAAAGCAATTTGTTTTGGTCCAGGAATATGAAAGGAAAAAAAAAATAGAAAAATATTGAAAAATTTGTTTAATTTTATTAAAAACAAGAAAACAAATGGACAAGAAAAATTTACATTGTAGTTGTTGTTTTTTATGAATTTTGTAACTTTTTTTTTGAATAATTTAGCGATGTAAAAATATTGACCATAATAAAATTTTAATAATGGTGTCACCGCATTGTTTATTCCTTTTGTTTTTTTTCTCATTTCTTTTTTATTATTTAAAATTGAAATCAAATTGTTTGTAATTTAAATATAGATTTTTTTGTTATTTTATCCCCTCCATTTAGAAAATTAAATTTAAATTTGAAATATTTGGTTTTTCGTTTTTTTATTGTAAATATTGAAATCAACGTTTCTTTTGTGGCAACTAGCTATGTAATGTGTAAGTATGCTTAGTACATATTTACTAATTTCAATTTAATTTATTTATTTTGTCCTTTTATCATAATTTAATATTATTCTAATTCAGAAAATCTTTTATTCATTTCTAGTTATAAGAAAAACAAAACAAAATATGTGGGAGTTTTCCTCTATATTACAACGATAAAAACTTCTCTATAGTTAACATTAAGATTATTAAAACTTTGCATTCAATGCTTGATAATTTTTATTTTAAGTAATATATAGTAAAATTGATAAATTCTCTTAGTCTCAGAATGGCTAATTATTTTATAAATGGCTAGATAGAATAAAAATTGCATACTTCTAGGGAACTGCATAATGTTGCATATTTTTACAAAGTAATTTTTAAATTCAAAATCTAGTTCATTCTAAAATAAATTTGAATTTTATTAAATTAGGGCTGTAATTAAAATATTTTAGTAGAGAAAAATATTTTATTTTAAAATCTATTGAGCCACCAAATGCACTATTTAAAATTTAATTTCTTCTACTTTAGCTTTCAATATCATTTTAAACTTATATTTGATTTTAATTTTATCATAATTTTCTAGTTCATTAAATTGTAATGTTTTAAAAAATTCAATTTTTTATACTTACATTCTTTTTTCTCTTGACTTTGCCAATCAAATTCACCATTTTCTACTAATTCGAGGAATGCATTACGTTTCTTAAAATACATTGCCAAATCAGTTGATAATATTGCTTTTTCTACAACATTCATGACCCTCTTATAATCTTCTGGTGATAGTGCCTTTAAAAAACAAAAAAATAAAATACATAAAATTTTTATATTAAAATTTTTTTTAAATAAAAATTAATTGAGAATTAAAATTTTAATTGTTCAATTCCTTTAAGGGTATTGTAATATCAGCAAGATAGAGTTTACAGATTGTTTGATATATAAATTTGTCTTAAATGTGCATTCTTATTGTAGGTTTTATAGAACCCATTGTATCTTGACCCATTCTTAATTACACTAAATTCTCAATTTTGAATTTAATATAGCTGAGTACTAAGGAGTGGCACAGTAATGAAATTTTGAAAAAATTATTAAAGATAACACTATTGAAAATTTAAATTATTACAAATTTTCAGAAATTCAATAGTGCAGACACGTAACGTAATGAATATGCAATATCCATTTGGGAAATCTATAAAAGCAAAACAGTTCATAAGATCAAATTGCGCTGCTAATAATAATTTTATCGTATTACTTTCAAGTTAGCAAAATTTATGAACAAACTTGATTTTCAAGATTTGTTTATGAAGGCACAGATTTCACTATAAATTGCAATGCACTGTGTTTATTAAAAGGTCTGTTATAAGAAATTAGAATATAAAGAATTGTTTTGATCCAACATTACAAACATAATCTTAATAATGACCTTAGTAAGAATAGGTTTTTGGAATAAAAACTAGAATTAGCTATTTGTTTATTTAAAATCAATTTTTAATTACAAGGCTGTCAACTGCACAAATAGTTTTTATAAGTCCAATTTGAAATATTTGGAATCATTATTTATTTTATTTACATTAATCGACAAATTTTTTGATTAGAATTTACAATATTTAAAATATTTATATAAGATTATAAATTTTGTGCCAATTTTGATAAATTTGATAATTTTTACATATGAGTTTAAATCATCTTTCCTCTCAATATAATTAATATTTTCAATGGCCACAGGAAATTTTAATTCGGTTTTATATTTAAAATTTTAATTCGGAAATTTTAATTAAATTGCTAACAAAACATTTTGATTACATTGGCAAGTACGAGGATTTTTCTGGAGGTGATTTAAAAAAAAAAAACTGTGTATAAGCTTTCTATGTCCGATTCGAAGTCTAGTTATTGTACTTGAGTTTTTTCTTGGGAGCAAATTAATCTTTTCCCAAGGCTTTACGCTAAATTTAAAAGTTTTTAATTTATTATTATTTATGTTAGCAAATTAAAATTCTTTTTGTTCTCGTATCATTTTGTTAATTAAAAATTTCGTATTAAAATTATGAAAAATATTAAATTCTGAGTGTGGAGTTTTTAATAAAGCGTTTTTGGCTAATTTATCAGCTGTTAAAAAATTAGAATTACATAAACTTTTAGCCACAAATTAAAATTTTTCCACAATCTAATGTCATAAATAAAATATATAAATTTTTTTACATAAAAATAATAACTTTATTTCATATAAGTGAAGATTGCTATAAGGGTAAGTTTTTGAACGAAAAGTTGATTATAAATGAAGGTGATGAAGATGAATGATTTTATACTCTAAATTTGATTTACCGTTTGTAACGCTAAGAAATAATGGTCTGAGATATAAACTTAAATGTCTGTTTTTGATGAGCGTCGAATTCTGAGTTGATTTAGCTCTGTCTGTCTGTCCGTCCCAGCAATAACTCAAAAACTAATTGAGCTAAGTTCACCAAATTTTCACAAATCATTTATTGCAGTAAGTGCCAGAACACTATTTACATTGTACATAATCGGGGAACTGGTTCGGGTAGCTGCCATACAACTTCAATAGTATGGCACACACAGTATTTTGAAAAGCACTGTACTTAAAGTCATAATCTGTCCCATAGTCAGTTATTGCATATTTATTCGCACACAGGATAACAAATTCGAACGGGTATCACAGAGTTGACAAAGTATCTCTGTATTTTTTCTCGTTTACTTTAAAATTATCTTAGAATTTAAAAAGGTTAATTATCTTAAGAAGATAAGATCAGAAATATTTTGCATATTATAATGTCTAGATGTGAGACAAAATCAAAATTCTATAAGACCAAAACCATCTACATTATAACCATCTAACCTTGACACAATAGAATTTTATGCGTGTGTACTACTTCAACATTTTTTATGTAAAAAAAAAAAAAATACGCAAATGTGTGAAATAAAAAAAAAAATTTTGTTGCATAAAATTTACCCTAATTTTGAAAATTTTTGCAAAAAAAAAAAAACGGAAATATCTGAAAGAGAACACATATATACACACATACATGATAATAGGGTATAAGATAAGTTGGAAGAACGGAAATAAAAAAATAAGAGCACATTTTTGCTTCATTTTTAATTTTTTATCAAGTTTTGTATTGCTTTCACTTAATTTCCAAAGGTATTTTTGTTATACCTTTAGGTTCCTTTTGGTTTTTCCATTGAAATTCATTTATGCTTCATTGTTCTTTGTTATCTTGTTCCATTTGTGGGTTTGAGTGTTTATTATTACTTTTGTTTTGTTTTTATTTTTTTTAAACCATTTATACCATATTTTTTGTTGACCACATCCTTTTTTTTTTTTTTGGTTCTTATTTGAAATCATATACTTGGTTATTTCCTCCGTATAGGGGTAGTATATTATATTATATACCTATAATTTTGTTATCCTCAAATAAAACCACTTTTGACAGTGTTATGCAAGTACATATAACATCAAAATTTCAAGTACCTATATACACATATACATTTAGTTAAGAGAGTCTTTCTATCTCTTTATAGTGTTAATAATTCATTTGATATAATTAAAAAATGTCACGTTCAGGCTTAATGGTTTTGCAGTTTTGACTTTGGTACCAAAGTAACAAAACAAAAAAAAAAAGTAAAGGTAAAATTGAGGGTGATTTTGTTTTTTTTTTTATTTTTTTTCAAATTCTTGGTCTCTTTTGTTTTTCTAAATTATATTTTACACCTTAAAGTTTCTTGATTCTATACAAGTGTGCATATAAATAAGTTTTTAAGGTAACCTTTTTTTAATAGGGTAAAAGTTTTTAGTTTAAACTGTCTAGTAAATTTTTTTTTTTGCAAAAGGATCAGAAAAATGTGTTTTAAGAAACTTTTGTTTTTTGTTTTTTTTTATTATTTACTTAAGTGTTATGTTGCCTTTTTTAGCACTTTTCCAAAAATTTTTTGAAAAAAAGTGCTTATTAGTTTCACTCTGTCCGTCCGTCCGTCCGTCCGTCTGTCCGTGTGTCTGTTTACAAAACTTCTACATTCTTAAAGATAGAAAGCTGAAATTTAATACGTGCATAGATCTTTAATAGAAACTTATTTTCGTAGAACAAAATTTTTACCTATCTCCCCCCCTCTAGAAGTTATACCCCCCCAAAGCCACAAAAATGGCCCATTTTAACTATTTGTTGCAATGAAACCATAAGCATTTTTGAAATTTTGCAAACGCAGAAAGGCAGCGGCTTGCTTTCCCTAGCGCATTATACTATAGCTAAACTTTAGAAAAACAAAATGGCCGTTCAAATTTACCGTTATCTAAAGTCCTTTTTTTCCAAATTTTTGATGTCGTTTTTCTCCTATACCCCAGCCTGCAGAAGCTTGAAATTTTAGGGGCTTTTAGACATTAACAAATAGTTCATTTCGTTAGAAAAAAATTTTTTTCCATCTCCACCCCCTCTCAAGTTATCGCCTCTTGAAATTTGTAAAATTTGAATTTTTGACACCTTATATTTCCGAAACCGCAAGCTTTTTCAAATTTCTATAAACGCAAAAAGCTAACGGTGAATTCCATGACATTAAAAAATATAATTATTTTTCTTAACTCACACAATTAACCCTTAAAATCGACCATTATGCTAACCCCACTTTATATTTATTTTTGCTTTATTTCAAACACTGCATATATGCGTCATCCTAAATATATGCAATCCTAGAAATAGTTTTGTGTATGAATGAAAATAATTTTAATAATGTGGTGGATATACATAGTTTGTTTTTAAAAGCAGTATTTTCACTTGTTGAAGGGAAAAGTGCTACAATACAAACCATTGGTTTGACCCAACTTTATTTTCATATAAAAAGGATAATTTGTGCACTAGTATAAAATCACTGTTGGGTTTTACATAGCGCAGGATTAAATATATTTTAATTTTAAAGTATATATTCGGGTATCTATACGGAATTAAATTAAAAAAACAATTTCGTTATAATTTGGTAATATTAAGTTGAAAAATATTATTTGCCTCTTCATATTTAAGCGTACACACTTTCATACATTAATCTTTTTAAAGAATAATGTTTTCTTGTTTCTTTGTTCCATTAATACTCTTTTTTTGTTATATAAGAAAAATTGAATTAAATATGAAAAAAATTTAAGAAAATTTTATACAAAAGCATTTGTGAAAATTTACTGTGTTTGTCAGTATAATAAAGTTGGATCAAACCAATGATTTGTATTGTAGCACTTTTCTCTTCAACAAGTTTTCACAAATAATCTATGCGCTACCTCATTAAAATTACTTTCATTTACATACCAACAAATTTCAGAGATTGCATACAATTAGAATGAGACAAAAAAAAATTTAAGTGGGCTCTAACATAATGCTCGAATTTAAGGGTTAATTGCGCAAGTTAAGAAAAAAATTATATTTTTTAATTGCATGGCATTTATTGTTAGCCCTTTGCAATTATAGAAATTTAAAAAATGTTATAAGTTTCGAAAATATAAGGAGCTAAAAATTCAAATTGGAGAGAGCGTGGAGCTGAAAGAAAATTTTCTTCTAACGAAATAAACAATTTATAGTGTCCAAAAGCTTTTAAAAGTCCAGGCTCTTACAACCTTCGGTCTAGACAAAAAACTATTTCAAAAATTTGGAAAAAACGGGTTATAGATAAGGATAAATTTTAAGGGCCATTTTGTTTTTTTAAAGTTCAAGTATTTTATGCTGCGGTAGAAGAAACCAGCCACTGTTTTTCTGCATTTTCAAAATTTAAAAAATGTTTTTAGTTTCGCTGCCAAAAAT